AATTTCTGTCTGGCTGCCTCCGCCGCTGCCACCCTCGTAGCCAACTCGGAAACCAGCCACCCCCTTCGGGAGGGAGCGAGACGAACTTAGCCACCCCTTTATTTAGTCGCCCGTTTGCTTACTTACGCCGGACTCGCTCCGACGAACTTCCGCGCGCGTTTGTCAGGGAGCCGTGGTTGCCAAGACACGAAGAAAGAGCGCGAGACATTGAACAAACTACAAATTGATACAATCCCCGTATCTCCCTCTGCAATTCTGACTTGACTACTGCGATGTTGTATACAGCGGCGTTCGGGAAATTAAAGTGGAGTTTAAATTGTAGCTCGGTTGACGGTTCTCTTTCTTTCTCACCGCGTTCGTGTCGATTGATTTTAACAGTTAAAATAATCCAGTTAAGCACTTTCCGGTAGGTATATAGTTTGTACGAAAGTTTTGATTAAATTATATGAAGTATATATGTTACTGAGAGAACATATATATTATTTTTGTTTTAAACTCAGTAAATTTTACAAAAAGTTCAAATACTTTTGTAAATTATTTTTTAATTACGAAATTATTTTGTGTACACACATTGCATTCTTTTTAATTACACGAATAAGAGCTTTATTTTTCTGTTTATTTTATAAAATACGTTATTTTAAACATTTCCTTATTTACCTGAAATCGTTTAAATAATTTTGCTCAGTTCGTGGTATATTCCCTCAATGTGTTCAATGAAAACATTACTTTCCTAAAACAGAAAGATTTTTCCCAAGTCATGCGACAATTATATGAATCTTTCGTTTGCAACAGAAGTCATATCACTTCATGAGAATTGATCGCACAGTCAGTGAATATCCCATGACAGTTACCGAATAGAACACGCGAACGGATGGAAGGGTTACGAAATCGCGCCGCGCGCCTCGCCGTGGTTTCGAGAATGATAGAAAAAAAAAAGGGAGTGGCGGTTGTAACGTCAAAGAAGACGTTGAAAGGATTTTCTTCGATAAATGGCTCTCTAGACCCAAACGGAAGTAGAGAGAACACGCTGAGAAAGACGAGTGCACCCGCTGGAGTATAGAATGGCCGTTTTATCGGCACGAGATGCACTTCCTTTGGGACACCCTTTTTGCAGGACGAGCTTAACAGCACCGATGTAGCGCACCTTGGACCGTCGCACTGTTCCGATAAGGACCGAGATTGTCGCTAGAAACCGATTCTTTATCTGGTCTCGGAGAATGGAACAGGGAAAAGGATAGCGAAGCCCGTGAGAGCAGAGGAGGCGAGGTACAACGCGTGTTCCATCGATTAAACAAGAGAAGGGATAAAGAGAAAGAAAGAGGGAAAGAGGCAACCTCACGAAGAAGAACTTTTCGAATACACGTACCACCGCCGCGATCTCATCTCCCTAAGTAAGATCGCCATCCTCCACTTAGCGAAGGATTTATACGAGCCAAGTTGAAATCGAATCCTGAACGGATAGAACTTTAAATTCCTACCGTAAGTATAAACGTACCGCTGCGCTCCGTGGCATTGATTTTGCTGCGAGGCTACGGTCTGCAACACGCGAACCACGCGAGATCGACGACGGCGATCGCCCGAGATAGGAACGCTGTGATCCAATAAGAAAGGAAATTAAATCAACTGAAATTTTTCACTCGCGGATATTTAGGAGCGAGCGCCAGTTACGCAAAGGTTGATTAAACGGCAAGAGACGATAACGTCGTAGAAAGACTAAACGAGACTGATATTTATAGTAATTCGATATCTAACAATAATCGGTTGCATGGAATATCAATTTTAATCAACCGGTTCGACCTACGCGATCTATATCACTTGACTATTTCAAGAAAGCCAAGTAAAAGCAACACGTTACGCGAATATCTTGGAATAAAAAAGTTAATTTAGAATAAATTAGTATAATCACATTTATCTAGACTTTTTTTTTTAAGTATATCAGCTTGATCCTTTTTTGGATCCTTATTTGTTTTTTATAAATAATAATTTAGAATAAAAATTAATTTAATCACGATGTCTAAATTTTGTTCTCCGATGGAAATAAATCTTAATCTTTTCTCGGATCTTCATTTGCTTTTTATTTTAAGATATCATATCAGAAAATTATCTCGCTTAAATGTTTAATACCATCAGTCCGGTTCAAGCAGATAATAGAAAAGACACTACAAATATTTCAGCTGGTTTATAAATGGTTATCATCTTTTTTAATTGCCCTGCAATTCTGTTTATTTCGTAGAACACACTATTAATCTAGTCGTCATATAAATTATCATCGTACGTATCATTGCAGTTAATACTTTGTCAAACATCTAAGCATTAATAAACATTATACATATAGATCTTGGGGTTTATCTACACGTTAGAATTTTACAAGCGATACAAATGATAAAGGACGTTGCGGCGCAATAAGTTTTTCTCATATTTAAGAAATAGAAGTAATGACCGTAACGTTCAAAGCTAAATCTTTAATGCTTAAATAATTCAATCTGAATTACGGCCATTACGGCTGTGTTCCAAAATTTACGTCACGTGCACTATAGATTTTCAGTACTGGCAGTAAATTTTGGAACGCAGCCTACTCGTATTTTTTATTGTTGAATTTTCAAATGTACGCTCCATTAAAGTTCTTATTGTTTCTCTCATATTCTTAGCCTTTTATGCTCTCACGCGTTCCACGTTTATGCGAATGCTAAATGTACTGTCTTTTAACGCGCTGGTACATTCCGTCAGGTAATAATGCTTTTTTTCTCTTATACGCGCTCATGCTTGATTTTCTAATGACTTATAGACGCACCGTGACCATCGACACGTGCATTTTGATCGTACCTTCCGATATCTGCGACTTGCATTAAAGCGAGACCGCCGTGTATTTCTCGCGGCGTCGCGGATAGATATATGTGTATGCGCACGTACTCTCGGCAAGGTAGGTGCTAACGATCACAAGATATATACGATTTGCGCACGATCGATTTGCCGCTATCACAAAAATCGCGTACAGGCTATCCTAAAACTACACTGAGAGAAAAATGTTTTGTATTTGTAATTATAATTATATATTACTATAATTATGTAATTATTACTATAATAATAATAACGGTAACTATGCATACAGCTCTAGCAACAAATGTATATAGTTAGGCAACCTAAAATGATAATAATTATAGTTATTATAACTATAATTTTATAGTTATAGTCACTTGAATCATTTTTATGGTAATTTCAACTATTTTATGGTTATAACAACTATAATTATAGTCATTTTAAGTTGTCAACTATATACATTTGTTGCTAGAACTATATACTTAATTACTGTTATTATTATTATAGCAGTAATAATCATAATTATAGCAATATGTAATTATAGTTACAAATACCAAACATTTTTCTCTCAATGTACTAGATATTAGCTGCGAATTTTAAAAGTTTTTAGTCTTTTATTGCAGTATTTTCTTGTTGCAGAGATACATCTTTTTTGCTGAAATTTAACGAATATCAAAGTATTATCTTTTAAAGAATGTTTTGCGCATTTAATAGCTTCCTCGTGAACTTTATAACTTTCTGATAATCGTTATATTTACTAAAAATTTAGCATTGAAAATTAAAAGACCATGATAACAAAAAAGATACAAAAGTTTGTAATACGAAGGATTTAAAAATATTATTGAAATATGTATTGATCCGTTCTTGTTGTTGCTATCACTCCTCGTTACCGTTATACCATCGTAATGCATCGGATCCTCGTAATATTCAAATGCCGGTATACAGTGTGCGGGAATGCGGTGGAAATCGCTCGCGCAAATGTCTGCGGGGAAATCTATTGTTAATGGGAACTCGACGGGTAGAAGGTGGGCGGATGGGCATGGTAATATAAATCGGTATCGTCATAGGAAGATATAGTGTAATAATAGTGTCGTATAACGCAGGATGATAAAGCCGTAATAGGCAAATTAGCGGAGCTTTTTATACGACGCCAATAAATGTCGACTCTATACGTGTTTATCGATGAAGCCTGTGATAAAGAAAGTCTGACAGCAGGTGGTCAGCTGACATACCTATTTCGCGTAGATTATATTCCAACAATTATGAACCGAATTTACGTGACAGGAAATCTGCTTACAATATCGAAATGTAAGTACATATCTTTACGTTTATAGGATATAATATATATTCTGTATACTCGATTTAACGTTTAATCACTTACATCTTTATATTGGACTGTTTATGTTAGTCAGCATTATGAATCGAAATGAAAATATTTTATGATTGATTTTATTTATTAATTTTTTAAATAAATATAGCAAATACAATATTTTAAAAAAGGATTGATTTTGTGAGAATAAATTATATTTTTTTCTATATGATAAATTGGTTATTAATACTTTAGACTACTATTTAATATTTTAGACTACTATTTAAGAGCGAATAACTGTAATGTAATAATCTGGATGATATCGAAATATCATTTATATTTCGTATGTATTCCGAAAACGCATTATCAATTTCGCCATAATTACGTTTCTGAATTTACTTAGGTGTGTTTCACGCATAACTACATAATTTAGTAGAGTAAAATGAAATTTACAGTTACCATTTAGGTAATAACAATACGTAAAATTTATATCTATGTAACGGAGAAGATACTCCAGATATAACTATATCGTTCATATAATATCCGTTGTGATTATATCTACATGATTTATAACACCGCAGGAGGCAATTGGCAATCGTTGAAGAAGTCGAGTGCGCAATTAAAATTCGTGACACGATGAGAGGTAATTAGAATTTCGGAATGAATTATCCACTTACCGTGCAGTAATCTCAAGTCCCGTATTTTAAATACGAACGCTGTAGTGTATTTTACATCTTTATTTAAATCAGATTTATTATTAATATATATATATATATATATATATATAAAATAACTGTATGTTGCATTAATAAAAAGAAGCGCAAGACCAACACGGCTAGCTCGAAAAGATCCGTAAATATGACATACTTGCAACATTGATTCTCATAATATTCACATTGAATTTCGGTGCATTGATGCGAATGCTCACCGGATTCGTCGTCGGGAAGACCGAACAGAGCAGAGAGCGCATAACCCAGGCAAGACAACCGGGAGGGCGACATAACTGGTTATGTATATGAAACGCTAAGTCGTGTGAGTAACATATGTCACGTATTAACAGGTTGTCCCATTAAACGTTCCGGCAGCGCGCACGGCTGGCCCTTTTCAACCCCGAAGAAATGCCCGCGTCCTCCGCTTTATCTCGCGTATTTGAATAAACTCGAAAAATAAAGGTCACCGACGCGTTCAATTATAATTGAGCGGTTGTCAACGCAGCGATAACGTCGACACCCCGTTTCCCGCGCGTCAACACGTGTGAATCTCATCCAACAAGGGCTCCCTTCCTGCGTCCCGGGGTCCGGGGGAAAAAAAAGAAAAAAAAAAGGAAATTGCCATGGTATGGTTCACTCTCTCCTTCCATCTCCCGAGCTAACTGGTACCGCGGAAGTGTCACTTTTTTTCCTTCTCTTATTCACGAGGGTGTGGGTAATGTGAAAACAAGTCGCAGCGTCGCGTGATCTAACGCCGAGGGGAAGGAAGCGTATCGCGTCGGACAGGAAAAGGAGGCGAGGAGAAAAAAAAGTGTAATTAATCCAGTCGGACATCGGTATGCCCGCCGTGTCGGTAAACCAGTGCTTGCATGCGTGCGTTCGTGCGTGCTTATTTCTTATGAGTAATTATCCCCACGGGTCCGCTTCGTCGTTAGGCGACTCGGCAGAAGATCGAAGATAAATATATTAAACGGTGAGAAGATATAGCCCGGCATTTTTATACAACGTTCGGTTGGCTGGCGCGAGGGGCCGATTATTGAATGGATAAATTTCGGGGAAAAACGAAGCCGTCGAAACTCGCCCTCGGATTGAATTTTGCTGGTCCTGGGTGTCCGAAGGAGTCGTTCGTTTGTGAAACTCCCTGTACTCACGCGAGATAGATATATCGCGGCCATGATATAAGAAGTCTAAGCAGTGCCGCGACGTGGCTATCTTGGAAGTATCTTAAGACCCGAGTACCGAAACGTGTCCCTACCCGAATAAAAGCCGCTAAGCGGACGGGCGCGGCGATATGATAAAAATAACGAATGTTATTGCTAACTGCTAACGAGTCAAAGCACCACAGCGTGGGTACGGCGG